AGCCATACGATTAGCAAGCAAGTGTATGGCTCCTGCATTTCGTATGCACGTGCGTGCTCATGGAACTGTTGCCAAGTTTTTTAAAGCTCTTCATGATGCAACTAAAGATCAGGTATAAACTTTCGCACATGACAAAGTTCTATTCATTTCTATATATCCATACATATTACATATTACATTAAGTGCTTTCCTTATTAAATTAACTTTTTAGTATATATATAATAATTGTATGTTGATATTATTATTATTATTTGTAGAGTCTTGGTCTATGCACAGCTACAGTAATGTTTGTATTAAGTCAAGATCGTCTTGCTATGGATCTTGATCGCGATTGTTTGGAATTGATGTTAAGTCTATTAGAATCTGATGCCAGCCATAAGGATGCTCTTGATGATTGTGGTCTCAGTCATGCTGAATTACTGAAAAATAAAGAAAAAGTACGTCAGTTATGTGCCGATATACAAGCTCAAGGACATGCTAAGCATCTAAATTTAGATAATATCACCGTAAGTAATTTTCGATACGCTTTCTCTGCATTAATATTTATTCCTGTATGCGTTTATATTTATATAAGTTTATTTCTATTTCCGAGTAATTCGTAATATACACTGTTTTTAACAGGTTGGTCAGCTCGCTATGGAAACACTTTTGAGTCTTACATCAAAACGCGCTGGAGAATGGTTCAAAGAAGAATTACGAGGACTAGGTGGCTTGGAACATATTGTAAAGACAATCCGAGAATGTCACCGTCATATTAACAGCCAGAATGTTTTAAGATCTGGTTGGACAGATCCTTTATTAGACAAATTACGTAAAGTTGACAGATGTTTACGCGTCTTAGAAAATGTAAGTGCTTTTTTTCTTTTGTTCCTCCTCCCTCCCCCCCCCCCCCGTATGCGCGCCATATTACAAAGAAGAATGAGTAATGAAGAGTGGCTGAACATTGCGACTTTTTTTTTTAGGTAACACATATGAACGAAGAGAATCAGGCATATTTATTAAAGTATGAGAATGGAGTATTAGTAAGCACGTTAGCTAGTTTATATCACTTATGTGGACAGGAGATTCCTGTTTATCCAACAACTGATCCAAGCGATAAAAGTTCTACTGGTGCTGTTGTTAGAGAATGTCTTTTTGCAATTATTAAAGTTCTCATCAATCTTACTCATCGATTTAATAGACAATGTAAGATTTTCTTTTGATATTATTAGTGCATTCATAGTTATTCGTTCCAAAACATACGTATTTTTTTTACACAGCCTTCGGCAGCAGATCAGTTGGCGCACAGGTTGGCGTTTTGGATTGTAGTTTATTTCTTTTATTACGCGTGCCTGAATCACTCCCAGAAGAAAAACGGTTTGATATGATGATGTTGGCATTAATTCTGTTGATAAATTTAGTAGAGCAGTGCGACGACAACAAGCAACTTCTTATTGACTCGAAGGCACCTCCGTCATTAGAAAATATTTTCGACGGTAAAGTATACCTGATTTTTACACTTCTTTAATGTAGTGGATTGTGGGAATACAAGACCTTTGTTTTTATAATTGCGTACTTTCAGCGGAAGAAAGCGGCGTAGCGTCTCTGATCGATTTATTTTACAAGCAAGAGGAACTCGCTCGGGCCGAGGAACAGAAAACGGACGCGATCTTAGACGGAAAGAAAGATTCTGAGCAAACAGAAAGAGTATCGAGCACCTCTAAATCTCAGGAAGAATTTATCGAAGAGACCGTTACGAAATGTTTGTATAATGTTTACTTGTATGTGCATGCATACGTATCTATCTTGATATCTAATTTTACTTAAAGTTTATTAATAATAATGCATAGAATAATCATTGCTTGAACAAATCAATTTTTAACGACTTTCTTTGAAGAAGTGGATTCTTTCAAGAAATTGTCGAATAAAATTATAGTATTACGCGATATAATTTGTCTAAAAAAATGAAATTGTTACTTATATCGAGATATTTAATGTTAGAAATAATCGACAGAAACTTTTAAAATTTTTTTTTAAGAAAAAATCCAATATGTTTATGTTTTTTAAAATTAATTTGTATGTTTCATGAAATGCTCAGATGCATTTGTGATTTTTTATTAAAATATAACCGTAAGATTATTATTTTACAGTGTTACAGAAAGCTGGACGACATATGGAGCATACACTAATCGGAGCATATGTAGTACTGTTACTTGGATACTTAATAATGGATAACAAGGTAAAAAACTTCAAACGCGATTATATAAGTAAAAAGTATTATTAATCTACCTGTTACATGTCTAATAATTTACATCCAGGGACTAAGCATAGTTCTTTTTTTCTTATTAAATCTTTTTTCTATTGTATAGGAGTACGAGTCGCTAGTACGAAGTAGACTACCAGACAAGAACTTCGCCACTATGGTATCTGTACTTCAAAAGTTCTTCAACTTTATGAATCTGACGGCATCGGTAAGCATCCATTCGAGAAATATCCCATTTGGTTTGAAAAAATACGTTGTAATGTTTATCACGCGTATTTGTTTCAGAACGAAGTGAGTAGTTGCGGAATCGCCGCTACTGAGAAGGTAATCAAGTTCCTAAAGATGTCGGATGCTAGAATCGAAGAGGAGAAGAATGAGTTACCATTGCCAGCGTTAGAAGACACCAACACGATGCTTGACTTAACTTCATCTTGATCGATATGTTATGCACACACCTGACAGCATTTCTTTCATCTGGCGTACACAAAGAGCCAAAGTTGTATTTTTTGTCCAACAGGAAAAAATCTTTTTATTACAATGTGGATGAACCTGTTTCATATTCGTATATTTTGATACATATTTATTCATTTACGTAATTTATTGTTGTAGGTCTCATTATTATTATTAATTATGATATAATTCGACTTATTTCCTTATTTACGATTGTGGAAGCTCTAGCTTATATTCTAGTTTAAGTAAAATAAAATAGGATAACACTTTGAATTTACGTACAGAAACACATCTTGTATAATTACAGGGCACTTATCGCAATTATATCGTTACTGTTTACACGATATCACGATAATTATTCGATTTAACGAGCAGCCACTTTCTTTTAAAGAGACTGCCAAGAAGAATAATTGATGCGATAAGCTTCTTGCCAGCCTACCTGATTCAGTTTCTGTACATGAGATATTAAAATTGTACAATCGATTTTTAAAATAAAATATCTAATGCGTTTTAAAACTTTTTAAGTGATCGACAGCATTGATCATTGTACATTGTAACCGGCTCGAAATTCAACAGCGTTTTTTTTCTTTTTCTTTTTTCTTTTTAATATGCGTAAGGATTATTTTAATATTAAAATTATATTATAAGCCTTGTAAATGTAAATTTATAAATTATAACTGTATCTTATATCCGCATTTCGAATTATTGGATCCCATTTAGCACTAAATACAAAACGTAAGACGGATTACCTACATGGTTAATGTGGTGCAAGGGTACGAGATATTCACGCGTTCTATATAATAAAATTAAAGGGAGCAGGAGATACTCACGTAATACGTTGTTACATTTGTAGTAAAATTATTGCTGAGGCATATGAAGAATCTATGTAGAATAAAATAATTTTTTTAAATATATGTATGATTACATTTATTCCGTTTAAATCGATTTTTTTTTTATATTTTTTTAAAGTTTCACATTTCAAGAGTACTCATGCAGTTCAAAAATTATGACGATATTCGCAAAATTGACAAAGTTACAAGACGTTAAAGCGGTCACCGCGCAAGTAGAAAATAATTATTGAAAGTACAAATTAGTTCGGTCCGTTTTCGAAAAGATGGCTCCGGCTGTTGTGAATGGATCATAAGGCCTGTTCTTTTTGGCTGAACTATTGTACCAGTTCATCTTTCTTCCTCTTCTTTCTTCCTGGAGAGAAAAGGAAGAAAGATGAACTGGTGCAAAAGTTCAGCCAAAAAGAACAGACCTAATGACTTCTGCTACACGGCACGCTTAAGGGTATATCCACACAAACTTGCATAGCCGCATAAACATATACATAAAGAAAATTATCCAATTGCAGTTCTCTTTTAAAGTCGTACATAAAATGTGATTGGATAATTTTCTTTATGCATACGTTTATGCGGCTATGCAAGTTTGTGTGGATATACCTTAAGTCCGGATCTACAATAGGGTTTTATGCCTTAAACCATAAGAAACGAATCACAGTCGCTTATTCTTCTCGGATTCGACTGTAATTGGTCAATTTCTTACGGCTTAAGGCTTAAAACACCTATTGTAGATCCGGGGTAATCGGGTTTAATACATCCGTAGTTATGAAATTGGCCAATCATAGCTTTTCGTCGGGAGAATGGAATGATTGTGATTGGTCAGTTTTCATAACTATGGATGTTATTAAACTCGATTAAGGGTGCCGTGTAAATGTAGTCATAGTGATAGCTGATTTTGGAGGTTTCAGAGAGGTTAGCCCGGATCCTCATACTGGCAACAGCGCTTTGACATCGAACGCAGATTGGTGGTGAAAAGTCGGTTGTGGGGGTAAAATTTACCCTCATCACCCGTTTTTCACCAATCAGCATTCGGTGTCAAAGCGCTGGGGTGGCACCCAGTTGGACACGGCTCAATTGGACACGAGCCACTCACAGCGCTTGAGACTACAAAGCTCCTAGGCACTTGGTCGCTGTGATTGGTGGTTGTCCAATCGAGCCGTGATCAATCGGGATCACCCCCATGAGCGTTTGCTGCTATTGAATGATCTAGAAGAAAACACCGATAGCAGCGAATGCTCACGGATTTGGGGCTCTATTCTTGAAAAGAAACGTATACGAAAGTCTAGGAAAATACTATAGTATATGTAACGCATATTGTAGCATTTCCCTAGACTTTCGTATACGACATACGTTTCTTTTCAAGAATAGAGCCTCTGCTCCACAACAGTTGAGTCTGCTGAACGCGTCAATTCTCCACGATCTTCTACGCTTTTATTGTAAACTCGCTCTTAGCTTCTCGTCTGCGATTGTGGTTAGAATTGTTGTTTTGTAATTGCGCCACGTGGTTGTATTGTACACATTTCACGTGTATAACGTAATTATATTATTGAAACTTGTAAAAATGATGGCATTTTGGAATCAGGTTACTTTGGAGCGACCGCCGTATACAATATGGCAAGTCAAGCCACCAGATGCTAAAAGGACTGGTATATATTTTTTTATCTCGTTTATATATTTTCAAATGAAAATGCGTCGAATTCGTGTCTTCTAAATAATTATCTTTTTTTTTTAGTAGATATGAATATTTACATTTGAGTATTATATTAAAAAAAACTAATCAAGAAGGAAGTATTTATGAGAGAGAGAGAGAGAGAGAGAGAGAGAGAGAGAGAGAGAGAGAGAGAGCGCTAATATATTTGTTGCCTACCATAAAACTTCTTTCTAATACAGCTTGTAACAATAAAGTGATTGCAAAAATATACATATATAAGTAACTGTTTGTTTTTGTTTTTAGGTGTTGATGTATCTCGATTTAAAAAGACATTAAGCGCAGTGATCCATGATTTTGAATCAATGGATGATTTACATAGAAACGTTGCAGTCCTAAACCGCTTAATTTATCGAATGAAAAATAAATTTCGAAATGACAAAGGCTTCATGTCCATGGTCAGGTTGGGCAAAGCATTGGACAACTGTTACAGAATGTGTCTGAAGAATGATTACGTGACTTTGAAATCTCTCATTCAAATGAGAGACAGGATGTATAGTTTACCTAGTAGGCAAAATCTGGAGTATGTGCTTGCGAGAACACAAGGCTTTGGAAAGCTCATGACCAGAATAGAAAGTATATCGTGGATCGCCTCGCATTATTTTATATCCAGAATAAAATTGGGTCATGCGTGGAACGTTGCTTTAGTAGCTTTGGCTACTGTATGCAGAATTTGGTAATGTCCCTATAAACAATTCATTAAAGTTAACATTATTCTCTTTTACACGAACGGAGATATATATTTATGTTATATTTGAATAGGTTTCATACGAGAGATATACTCTCGAAATGTTGCTTCTGGTACGATGAGCTGTATCGATTTACACCACAGTTTCAATATGTAGGTGCAAAACCCTGGCTTCCAAATGATCAAAGCCTACCACACAACTTAAAATCGTGGCTGTGTGTGGACTGGGAAGACAGGGATTTGTCACAGTAAGTTTGAAATTATTTGTATTTTTTTTTAGACTGGTAACATACTCCTGTTATTTCAAATTCTTTAGTTGAATGCCGGTTACGTAGTCCTATGTCATTTAAAATTTTTTAGCTGAATGTTAGTAATCAGAAACTAGATTGGAGTGATGATCCCCATGTGAAAAACATATTTGTTGAGCACGGGTGGAATCGAACTCGGTGGATCTTCAGATCATAAGTCGACCACCCTAGGCTTGAAGCCACTCGTGCTATCAGTCCTTTCATGTTCACGATTTATATATATTTTATATATTTTATAATGACTAGAACTTTGTTCCTTGTACATGTCTTTTCAAATTACTATCAGCTTTACTTCTACTTATAATGTATATGTATGTCACACAGATGATACTCAATACTTTCATAACTCATTCTCATTTACTCAACTACAACTTATATAACGACATACAACTAATCTGTAAAAATATTAAATTTTAAATTGTAGTAAATTCATTATATTTGTTTTCAAAAAATATATTTAATTAGTTTAAGCAATTCTATCGATTTTAATATTGCTAGTAATTTTTCATCCATACTTTTTCAGTATGCGTTTGTAATATTTAATTTTTTTTTATTTTAAATAAATGATTATAAGCATTATATCGAGAAACAATATTTTTTATATTCACACAAATTTAAATAGCAGATTCTTGCAGTATATTCAACTATAGATTTTTAAAAATTACATGTGGCGTTCAGACAACCGTCGGTCGCGAATGTATTAATATTATAATTAGCTTTGTATAACAAATGTTATATTTTACAGTAATTCATCTATCGGGCAACAGCTGATTAAAAAAATTATGTCCGAAGAGTATGATAACATTACTAACGAAAAAATTAATACCTTAATGCTGAATGAAGAGATTGATGATTCGGAGATTGATGACTCAGATACAGATAACTCAAGACTGACACAAAATATCGAAGTTACTTCGAACAATAATGTAAAAAATAAATTTTTATCAAATAATGACACGGAAGATATTGGAGGTACGCACCGATTACAGCGATGTCATTTTTCTCTTTTATGTATATATCTATGTATACATACGTGTGTTGTGTGTGTGTGCGCGCACGCGGATGTATACATATATGTACGATGTATCTATGTATATACAGAATAAATTTTCTTTTATGATTAATACATGCCACTTATTTTTTATTATATAGAAGTAATAAATCGGGAGACTTTTGTGAGTAATAGTAGCAGCAGTCTTCCACCAAACGATGGATCCACAGCAATAAAACGTAAACACGTAAATACTAATCAAGGAAAGAGCTCTAAAAAATCAAAAATGCGAAGAAAACAGAAATAATATTATAGAAAATGATATTAGAAAGAAAATTGTCTACATAATAGATTCAATTATAGAATAATAGCTACTATTTTATTATTTGGACAATGAAAATCAAGCTGTGCATAATTTTAATTGCAATAGAATAGTTTAATTGTGTGCAAATCTTTGTGTACTTTTCATAAAATTTTACGAAGTTTAGTACATTTTTTATTAAATTTTATGTAGATTTGCATAAAATTTAATGTAAGTAAACATTAAATTTAGTTATTTATAACTTCATTTTTTTTGACAACATTAAATTTTTTATGTACCTGCTTTTTTTTAACATTGTATGATTTAATCACGATTTAATCAACGAAATTTTGACAATAGTACATATTTTACACACACTTAAAAATAACATGAAATTTAATATATTTTTATATTACACAAGTTGAATTTAATTTCGTGACATTACATTAAATTTAATGTATCTGTAACTGAAAAGTATATTTGTGTACTTGTATATGAAATTTAATACAACATTCATTACATTTAAGACTACTGTTTAGTTTTTAGTTCATTACTTTTCAGTTACCTGACCACAAGGTTTCCTTACAAATTATACTTAAATTCCAGAAATTTGTAACAGTATAACAAAACCAAAGTTGATGTTATATATTTATTAATATTTAATATAAATCTATCTGAGGTATAAGCACAGCTTGACAAAAAAACGTACAAATTCAAAAATATATAATTTTATATTTTTGTAAAATAAAAATACTTTTTATTTTATATATGTGCGTATATTATTAATATGCATATCTTCACTCGATTCCCCTTCCACAGACTTCTTCATTGAAGTTAACTAATCGAGAATCGCTTGTAAGTAAAACCCTATATATAAAATCAGGTGCAAGAGATTTTTGTATTATACACAAAGAATCATATTCGAATATCTTGCTGCTGGATAATATCTTTAATTTTTGGCATCAACAAGCGTATTATCAAAGGGAAGAGAAGGGACAGAAGTTGCAGGAAAAATAAAGGCGACATTATGCGACTTTAATTGAACGATGTGCATGGGTAGTAAATATAACATTGAGCACAGTAACTAGCTTTATATCGTGGGATTCTCCATAATTGTGTTAGATGTGTATAGCGCTATGATTAAGCGTCGTAGTCAGGATAAAAGTGAAGCGCATATCTCCGCGGTCTCATCCAAAATTTCAAGCCAAAGAAGTCGGAATGTCTCTTCCGCATATTGTTGAAGCAACAAGCGCGAAATTGCCGGGTGCCGCATATGTCGGCACACTCCCGTCCGCACTGATCGCAAGGAACGGTCTCACCGAAGCTCCACAACGCACACACTGCAAAAACAGATAAAATTATTAAAGAACTAAAGAGTGCTAACAGAATTCACGTTACATGATTAAAAAAATGAAAAATAAAAAATAAAAGAATGATAAAGGCATCCATTATGTAATGAGTCATACATATATCAATAAAGCTAATTAACTTGATGTTATATATACACTGAAAAAAATGTTATTCATAATATCAATGAATGACATTTATTGACTTTAAATTCATTGATATAATGAACTTTTAATAGAT